AAAGAATCCAGATACAACATGAAACAAATTCAGATACGAAATTGGCTAAGTTGAACGTATTAACTCCTCCCATCAAACTCTGCTCATGGCAGTAACTGCCCTTGTGGGTGTGAGAGAGAAAGAGAGCAACACATAAGTTTGCTTTTCAAAATTTCAACTTCGACTTAGTCTTCTTCTATTTCAAATCACATAAAAACAAACAGAGAGTATAACGCTAGATGGTGCTTGCCAACTTTATAAAGCACCAGATACACAGACTGTCATTCCCAGCCCTCACAAACCACAATATTACGCATCACCAAAACAAAGTACTTCATGAGACAGAAATGCGCTAACACAGTCCCAGTAACGGGGAAATGGATTCTAGAGAACCATGATCCTGGAAGAAAAACAAGGGAAAAAGAGAACTGAAAAATGTTATGTGAGGAACTGAACCTTTTTCTGATAATCAATACAAAAATTATTGCATTGTTTAGTTGACCAACCTTACACTAGTTATTTGGCCTGTTGGAATTATGATTAGCCAAAACGATAGCCAATATTAGGAAAAGCAAAATAACCTGTGTATTGAGTTAACAGCATGATAAGTATACATTTTTGAACTATGAAAAACAAGTACAGAAGAAGCAAAAACTAACCAGAAGGGGAGTGTAATTGTCCTTGTCCTGGAGAATGTAAGATTTCCTGGCCAAACCCATAAAAGCACATCAATTGAGGGGAGCAAAAACAAAAGACAATTATCCATATGGAACTAGAAATGTTGCCAAACCTCTTGTTCAGGACCCCAGAGTCCTTGCATGTCTTCTGGATTGCTTCCATCCTACTCAATATTTTTGTTGCGTTGGGATCATTCTTGTCAATCTACAATAGCAGAGGTAGTAATTTGATGAGTTAAAACTCCTGTTAGACAGGGAAATATAAGAGATATCGCAATGTAAGCCACAATTCGAATATGCAGTTCAGAAATGCCATTACTGGGTACAAGCTACCCAGAGGTCTAAAAGGCAGAGCAAGAACCTGTAATGTGACATACAGGCGACATATTGAGGATAAGAATAATCCCAGCCCATGAATATGAAGGCAAAGCCTTGATAAACATGACAAGACAAAATGAATCATGATGCCTATTCTAGACATTTGATAAATATCAATGACAATGCATCAAGCATTTGTTTATTTCATTAATTTCATTAATAAATTTATGACTGGACAACACCCAAAGCAGGATCAATATGGTCAAAAAGGTCAACAAGAAACAAAGCAGTAAACAAACTAATTTATCCATTAACATCCTCATTGTTGTCATCCAAGTCAGTATACCTGTCTAGTCTCAGTAGATTCACATACCTTGGATTTCAGCAAACAAGAAAAATCAAAGAAAGCACCATAGACATCGGACATAGAATTGGTTCGGTCAATGACTTTTGCAGTGAGACCTGGAAATATAACCATATATGATGGATGTAATATTAAGCAAAGTGAAGCACCATTCTTATAAAATTTGTAAAATCAAAGTATCACAGGATTAAACCAGAAACATATCAACAACTAAAATAAGACCACATCAGACTTATTCTATAAAATTTCAGGTTTTCCCCAATCCTTTTACATGCTATCAGTCACAAAAAGAAGAAATATCCATTGATCAATATCTTACCGCGCCTCATTTTCACTACACCTCTGAAGACTTCAATGTTGTTGTAGCATAAGGCTAGAGTTCCAATGGCCATGATCTAACAAAAGCAGAAAAAATTACGTAAGATACAGGCTTCAATAAAAAAATCCACATTCAAGACAAAGTAGATGTGGACAGATTAACACTGGAAAATATTGCAGAATTAATATGCCATAAGATGAGATAAGCAGAGTATCTAAAACGTAACAGAAAAGAATCACTGGGGGGAATCACTGATCGAACTATAAAAGAAACAAAAACTTGTAACTACATTTTCTCATTTCCGAAAATATGTCACCTATCCATTAGGGAATTCTAACTTAATGTACTTTTCAAACAAAAAATATGGAAAGAGGACTCAAGTTAGTACATGTTTGAAGCCAGTTTGTCCTACCTGAGGGATGGCACAAAAACGAAATATGGCAGGATCTCGTAAAGCAGACATGTACTTCAGGCAATCCTCCACATGTATCAAAGCATTATTTACCATGTCATTCAAGCACTGAACTGCCTTCACTGAGTTTTCCTCATATTTCAAGTCCTAAGGATGCAAATATCACTTTTAAGAAATATGCTACCGATAAAAACAGTTAAACCAAACAGACTCAGTATACGCCCATATCCACCAATTGAAACTGAAATAGATTTGGATTTACAATATTAATTATTAAAAGCTGAAACAAGAGGCCAAATGGTAGAAAGCACTGACATTGAAATAAAAATATATATACATATGCAGGAGAGATACCTCAAGTTTACTAGCGTGTTTACCCCAAATCTGTCGGGGCCAGAACATGCGTGACTTTGGTATCTCATTAATGTCCTCGAGATAATCTCGGATAATATTTGTTTTCTGTAATTTATTTCATCCAGAAATTATGTCTTCAAAATCGAATATATATTTAGAAAGAAAAAAGAAAAAGTTCATGGTAGGCACGAAGTTGTCTGTTTTATATACCATAGTATTACCTGAAGAAATAAACCCATTGAATTAGAGAGAGAGTCACAATCCAAATCTTCCAAGCCAGATGCATGGAACAGTTTGGAGAGACCTAATCCAACAAGCCCTGCTACATAGTGGCAATACTCATCATAGTCATTAATTGTTTCAACCTGCAAGATGAGAGGAAACTTGACTCGCATCACATTATCCTACTTGGTGTTTCTGCATGACAAACCATGTTCACGCAGCTTCTGAACTATGAGATGATATGACATATGTGACAATTCAGAATAGACTATTTGGTAACCAATTACCTACATATGACAGCATTAAGAGATATATTTCAACACTATAACTTAAGTTGGAAAAGGAACTTGGTGTTTTTTCTTCTTTTTTTTTTTTTTTTTTTGGTTTTATATTGGATAAAACGAGTCTGGGCCATGGTCATGACTCCCAAACTGTCCTCAGAAAATAAGGCATATATAGAAATAAATGAAAATGTCTAAGATCGATGCATCTATATCCTGCATAATACATTCAACACAAACCTCCTTGCGAATAAATTCTGCCATTCCTGCACCCATTTTTTTTGTGATATCCGCGATTGCCTCCTGGTAACTGCAGAAATCAATAAAAAAGTGAAATCAATTCAAAAAAAATATGTCCACAATATGCCTCTCAGTAAGTCATCACATATAGAAAAGTAGGGGATGCTTTGAAAGGGACAATGGTGTCAAAAAGCAAAGAAATAATAAGTTAGTCTTAGCTTCAAATACCATAAAAAAGTCATAATTTTTTTTCATTATTGGCCAACACATAGAATATCATTTTAATTTAATTGATATCAACAAAGAAATGAATAGAAAAATGACCCTTTTTCAAGTTCCAGAAATGCAGCAGAAACATGATGAAACTGGTCCATGAGAACTTTGTAATCCTTTGTGCCACCTGAATGCAACAAAGATAAATAAATAAGCAATTGAATTGATATGTATAAAGCATAATTACTTATAAGTAGGATCAGGAAAAAACCTTTATCCTACCTCCCCACTGGAAGAGAATTCAGAATGTAATTCAAATTTGATGTACTTAGATGGGAAAATTTTTCAGGAGTCAGAAAGGAAATGGCTTTCTAGCTTTCCAAAAAGGGGAGAGGGGGCGTGGAACAAGAGAAAAGAAATAACTGAAATCTTAGAACTAAAGATGCTGCAGAGTATCACTGGAAAAAAATAACAAAAATGATATAAATTTAGCGCCAAAATTTTTTTCTTTAAAAAAAACACCTATTTAACAAAATTTCGGGCAATAAACTGATATAGATCGGAGCTGTTCTCCAGAAATTCAAAGGTAGTACTTCATCCTGGGAAGAACACTTACATGAAAAATGCCAGCCACGATTATATATGTGATGATGAAATGCTATCAAAATAGGTACTTTTACATCCGTTGCTATGCTAGTGTCATCCTCTGTGAGGAAAAAAACATGGTGAGCACCAGAAGAAATCACAAGTCAAAACCGAGAATATACCAGCTTGATATGCAAATGTTAAAATTGGTAGAAACATCAAAACAAAATTTTAAATGACCGCTCCAAGTAACATCATATCCATAAAGATGCACACAACTCAGGGATACATACCTTTTTCTCCATGCATTAATAACTTAAAGGAAATGACTAACCAAATATTCACACACAAACATATCAAAATTCAAAGAAGATTATCTGTTTCTCAGAGAGGGTGTAATTTGATTGAATAAAATCAAGAATGCTTTCTAATGTTAATAGACTATCAAACAGCTTCGTACCAGTTATCACAGTGATATAGTCTGTGATAATTTACAGACATGAAGAATACAGATCTAACAAGAAAAATTAGATTGGCAACAGGAGGCGTTTGACATACATCAATACTAAAGAAATGCAAAAACAAACATGAAGGCTCAGACATGTTGACAACTTCACAAGTTCTGAAATTCCGTTTATCATCTAAACACAACTTTGCAGGCGACAAGGACAACCCATAATAATTAGTGCTTTCAATCCTACACACATGATAGAGATGCTGCTAACTGAATGGAAACAATGTAACTGATGAAAAAGTGCCTTAGAATTCATAAGGTTAAAGACATTAAGAACGAACCAACAGTGTCAAGGGCTCGAAGAACCAAATAAAATATGCACACCTGCAAAGCAACAAAGGAACCAAAGTAAGAGAATAAATGATGCGGGAAAAATATAAGATGGAATGGAAAAGGCTAAAAGTAACTGCAGCGAGAAAATAACCTCAAATTCAAAAGTTGTTTATAAGATCTGAATTCTGAAGATAAAAACTATGAAGATAGCTGAAGCTATTATTCTCTATCTCCCCACCTATTTCTTATATTCATGAAAGACCCAAAATCACATAAAAGCTACAGGGCTAAATTGCCTTGTAGTTTCTATAATTCTCATGCAGAACCATGCCTAACAAAGTCCGCTTCCACTAACAATCCCAACTGTCTAATCTGAAACTTCAAACCCATCAAATTTGAGCCCCAACATCCATTAGAACACACCTATATTACACACATCTGGCATTACTCCACATCCGGCATCAATCTTCAACAAGCCAGCAATAAATTACGAAAAAGTTACTCAGAAGTGAAGACATATCATGAAAGAGATCCAAGCCTCAACTAAATACAACGTTATATACCTCTAGGTGGACATAAACATAATACTTACAGCATTTCTAAGCTCCGGTCCGAGCTGTTGGATGACCAGAGCAAAGCTGCGGGAGACCTTGTGAAGCATTGTATAGCAGAAACCCCAGTGAGGCTGTGACGGAATCTGCTTCTCCGCACTCCTCACGGCCCTCTTTAGCTTCAACAATGGATAGAAATCATCTGGGTGCCTCAAGACCGCTCGCAAATTCACCATTTTTAAACACAGATCCAGAAATTAAAATCTGGGTGTTGGAGATCGAGTAGTGAACTGAAATAGATGGTTTATTCCAGGAAAATGATGGGTTTTTGTAGGTGACTGAAGATCGTGCTTGGATTTGGTCTATTATGGCGTACGTAAACTGGAAAACGATTTCCCTCTTTATAATATTTCATCCTTCAATTTTAGCTATCTTAATATTTTTTAATAAAATAAAATAAAAAATGTTTCTGTTTAATTATTAATTTAATAAATATGATAAATATCTTTTCAAAAATAAGTGTAAAAATAAAGTCTTAAACTAAAATTTTTAACAATATATTTAATTTAAAGAAAATAAAAGGAAGAAGAAGGTAAAGAAAATTTCTTTTACCAATCTAATTATCATGTTTTTAAATATTATAATTTAATTAATTAAAAATCTTTATTTTTTTTTATTGTTTTCAAACTAAACATATTAAAAATTAAATAGTATTAAAGAACTAAAATGGGAGGATTATATATAAAAATATAAATAAATAAATAATAATCTTTTTTAAATGAAGATATTTTTTTTCTAAGTTAAACTCCAATTTAATTCATTAACTATTGTATGGATCTTTAAATTAATCTTTAAATTAAAAGAAATCTTGATTTAGTCTCTAAAGTTTCCAAATCTGCTTTTAAATTAGTCTTTCATTAAAAAGTAGTCAACATATTCATTATTTGATAATAAAAAACTTTTACTTAATAATCATATATTAATGAGATACGTTATTTATTTTTATATAAGATGATTAAGTTGGAATTACATTTAAAAAATTTTTAAATTAAATTAAAAATTTTTTTAACTTATAATATAATTTAAGGATTCTTATAATATTTGAGAAACCCAATTGAGGTTTAACTTTTTTGTTTGTTTTTTTTCAATCTTAAAATGAAGAAGATTTTCTTAGATATAAATCTGCGTCTGCCTCGGATTCAATCAAATAGAAAGTAGCCAAAACTCCCCGTGATCTCTGCAGTTGGAAATGTAAGTTTAAGTAGTACCTACTCTTTCCAATTGCAAAATGTTGCTATCAGCTAAAACCCAAAATGTTAATCCCCAAATCAAATAGAAAGTACAAAGTACAGAATATGCTGATGTTCGAAAAGGACCTGTGGATTTGAATGCAAGTGTGGGGGCAGCTAGGGAAAAACAATGGCCTGTTTGGCTTCTGAATTTTGGATTTTGTTTTTGGATTTTTTTAGGATGTGTATTTATTGTAATTTTTTAATATTAATTTACATAAGAAAAATATAAAATATGATATTGATTTTAGAATAGTTACGACTTGGATGGTTTAATTACACAGTTGTTAAAACGCAAGACCCTCTATTTGCAATTGTTTTTGTTTTTTGGTTAATATTGTTTAGAATTTTTACTTTCACTTAACCACCTTTTATAATCTAAAATTTGTAAAAAAACCCAAAATTAACAACTATATCATGTGCAAATTAGAGTGTAAATAGGGAGTTGGATAATTAACTTTAAAGTTTTATACAAGTTTTAAGTTTTAGAGGGTATTAACCAGTAATAAAAATTTTAAAAGGTATTGATTATAAAAGACAATAATATTTATGATGCAAATGTGAGGTTTAGCCTTGTTAAAAGTAATATCAATTTTTAATTTTATTAAGGTTAATTAATACGAAAAATGTGCATTAAATAAACCCTTAACTTTTAAACATATGTTAGAAAAAATCCTTTATTTTTTAAGGAATGACAAACCTAAAGAGGAAAACAACTTTTGATTTAAAAAAAAAAAAGAAGACATGATATATGTTTAAGTCGAAAAGAATGAAAACGAAAGAAGGGAAGGGAAATTGTATTTTTTCATTTCTCGCATTTTTCTTTCCCTCATTTAGATAAGTAAACAAATTAGAATCCTTCCATTCCCCTCTTCTTTCTTTCTCTCATTTAGATAAATAAACAAATCAAAGGAAAAAACAAAGGAAAGGAAATTCTTACCCTTCCTTCCCCTCCAACTTGCTTGATAACCAAACAAAGAAAAAATTTCCCCTTTCCTCCCCCCCATTTCCCCTTAACCGAAATGTATTGTTAGACTTATTGAAACATAAGTTAGGATCTACTTATACACAACTTATATATATATATATATATATTATTTATATAAATTTTTAATTATTAATTTCTTTACTATAAATAGTTAAAATTTATTATGACTTTTCAAATGAAAAAGAAAATTCTTTATAAAAGTAAGATTAAAGGAAGATAAATCTCCACTATTTATAATGGTAAGATGAATTGTCAATATTTTGTGTAAATAATATGTGTAAGTGAATCTTAATGTGAAAATTGAGTATATGAGTTTCAACATAAAACTTACATTCAATTTAAAACTAATTTGGCAATAAATGGAGTAGTATTATGAGATTTTTTCTCTTAATACACCATCCTTACATGTAGACTTCGTATTAATTTTGAATTTTGTCACATGATTCTCAAGTTACAAACTTAAGAAGCCCTTCTTATATGCAAGCTCAATCTACCATTGGATCTCAAGTTAATAAACGGGCTTCATATGCCCTTTACTCACATAGATTATGATAGTATATAAAATTAGGCATATGAATTTTAATACAAAATTTACATCTAATATAAAATTCAGAGGCAGTAGTTGGGGAAATCTTCCTTACATTTTACTCACATATAAATATATATATATATATATATTTAATTTGAGATTTTTTCACTTAACGTACCTCCTCACTTATAGGCTTGTATTAACTTTGAATCTTATCATGTAAATCTTAAGTTAAGTACTTAAGACCTAACACTTGAAAAAGAATAATTTTAATTTTATAAACTTAAAGGCTTTTTATAACTTATACTAGTAATATCCTTCTTATAATTAATTTATAGAAAATGCAAAAAAAGGGACTTATTTTAACATTATCATCACCTTTATAATTTTAATTGATTAATTGATTAAACTAAAATTAATTTTTATATTTTTAATGAATTAGATACAAAAATAATATATATTACACCCTCTATCTCAAATAATGGTCTTTTTTATTTTTATTTTTTAAAATTAAAGATTTAGAGATAATGTTTGTATTTATTTATAATACCTTTAAAAAATAAAAGATAAAAGAAGATTTTTTGTGATTAAATAATTAATTAAAATAAATGAATAATAATTTAGTTAAAGTAAGGCAAAAATTATTTACTTATTTTTTTTAAAAAATAATAATTAATTTAAAATAAAAATAATAATTATTTTAAAATAAAAAGAATATACAGTAACATATACTTTTATATCACAGTTCAGATAAAAAAAAAAAACCCGGCTTGCAAATCAGCATGATAAACTAAGTGATTAAGAAAACAAGATTAATATAACTAAGAGTGCCTTTGGGATTGCA